ACCCACATGGCGTCAGAGAATGTGCTCTATAATAGAATTTATTACACATATAGAGTATTAGTGATACTGTGTCCATGTGGTAATATTATGGATGGAATTTCTACACAAGTTAAGCATATACGTTGCTGATCTCATTGTTAGAGGCAAAGCAAGTATAGTAGGTGTGTACCACGCTTGGGGTAATTCTGTTATTATAGGTATTGCAGTAATAAGGTTCAACGGCGTCTTAAAAATGACTACTGTTACAGTGCTCGAGGTGCAAAGTCCCTTGTAAATCGTTGATCCCGATCGCAATAGAGTGCTTAACAACACTACAAGATAGTCCTTAAAGCTCGAGACGTTATGTTTATTAGGGACAGCATCTCATTGCGCAAGATGCAGCTTGTCAACGGGAGGAGAGCCGGAGGCGGATTAACCAGAGGACTCACAGGCAGATCGTGTGAAGGCGCAGCATCCCGGCGGATCATGACTCAGGTGCAGGGCGTCAGGAGGCAGACTGTCGGAGGGAGGGCGCCCGCGGCAGGAATATTCGAAGGCGAAATGTCCAGAGGCGGATTGCCCGGAGGAGGGATGTCCGAAGACGAAATGAGGCAGTGTTCGGGGCGCCGTGGCAGGGTCGGTGCGTGACCATGGACGTTGGTATATCCTGCTCAGCAGCACTCGACCGCTCCGTTTCCTTCCTTCCTTCCTTCCTTCCTCTTCCTTCTTCTCCTCCTCTCTGCCTCCTCCATCCTGTGTATACCCTTCCTTCCTTGTGTCTGTCACGTGTCAGACGGATATACACTAATAACCTGTGATCTACAGCGTTCCCGGACCTTCAGAGCAGCACCTCTGCAACCTCTCCCGGTGCGCGCGCGTCCTCGGCCTCTGACAGCTGAAAGACGTCCTCCTTAAACATAGAACTGAATTTCAGCTGCACTTCCATACGCACTAAGAAGGGCCATGCATGATACAACGCACCTCTGATTTTGCATTATCGGAGAGTTCTGTTCGACGTGTGCTTGCGTATCCTTATTATTACTCAACTCGCTTTATCTCGGGGAGGAAAACTTAAGGAAAATAAGTGTCAGGGATATATTAACAGTCACACAATTACAAATCCCTTCATGTCACGCAAGAACATACCTACATTCCATCCATCAACATCTTAAAAGAATCAAAGATACACAAAGAAACAAGACAACAAAGTATCAAATATGAAAAAAAGAATATACACTTTGATATGAAAATAAAAAGGCCAACCAAAAAAAAAAAAAAAAAAAGGAAATGGCCCATATCAGTGTCAGTCAAACTCAGCATCAAGAAGAAAGGAGAAATGGGTTATTCTAATGGGACTACACCGTCGCTGAGCACATCTGCATCAGCACAAAGGGACCGACAGAAGGCTGAGGCTTGGCCGGACGGGGAAGGAGGGGGAGGGGGAGGAGGAGGAGGAGGAGAAAGAGAGGGGGGAGGGAGGGAGGGAGGGAGGGAGGGAGGGAGGGAGGGAGGGAGGGAGAGAGAGAAAAGAAGAGAGAGAGAGAGAGAGAGAGAGAGAGAGAGAGAGAGAGAGAGAGAGAGAGAGAGAGAAAAGAAGAGAGAGAGAGAGAGAGAGAGAGAGAAAAGAAGAGAGAGAGAGAGAGAGAGAGAGAGAGAGAGAGAGAGAGAGAGAGAGAGAGAGAGAGAGAGAGAGAGAGAGAGAGAGAGCAGAGAGAAAACCAAACAGAAAGAAAAGAAGAAAAATAGAGAGAGAAAAAAAGAAAAAATACAAGAAAGGAAAAGCAAACATGGTGCTCGCTAACAATAAGAAAAAAACAACCACTCCTTGGGTAGCGAACGAATCTACAATCCACCACTAAGCCACCGAACCACCAAGCCACCAAACACAGTCACTATCGACGGCGCTCACAATCCAACACCGGGAGTTATTACATCCCAAGCAAGACGGTCAGGATCCGATAGAGGCTGTGTGTGTGTGCGTGTGTGTGTGTGTGTGTGTGTGTGTGTGTGTGTGTGTGTGTGTGTGTGTGTGTGTGTGTGCGTGTGTGTGTATGTGTGTGTGTGTGTGTGTGCATGCCGGAACTACTTCTTGCATTTTACTATTCATTAATTCCTGAAAGAAATCGGGAGTTATGATGGAAAGATGGAAAGAGAGAGCGCGATAGAGGGAAAGAAGGGAGATGGAAAGAAAGAGAGCAAAAGATGGAAAGAGAGAGAGAGGGAGAGAGATAGAAAGAGAGAGAGAGAGAGAGAGAGAGAGAGAGAGAGAGAGAGAGAGAGAGAGAGAGAGAGAGAGAGAGAGAGAGAGAGAGAGGAAGGGAGGAAGGGAGGGAGAGAGGAAGGGAGAGAGGGAGAGAGGGAGAGAGGGAGAGAGAGAAAGAGAGAGAGAGAGAGAGAGAGAGAGAGAGAGAGAGAGAGAGAGAGAGAGAGAGAGAGAGAGAGATAGAGAGAGAGAGAGAGAGAGAGAGAGAGAGAGAAAGGAAGGATGGAAGGAAGGAAAGAGAAGAATATAGGAAAAACGAGAGTGAGAAAGAAAGGAAAGAGAATAAGAAAGGAAAGTGAGATATAACGGAAAGAAAAAAAAAAGAAAGGAAAAAAGAAATCAAGAAAAAACTAGAAAAAGAAATAACAGAAAATGACAAATAAAGGACAGAAAGACATCTAAAGAAAAACAAACAAAAAAAGATAGAAAAATAAACTAAAAAGAAAGAAGAGAAACGAAGAATGGTATAAAGGAAAGAGGAAAGGGAGGACTGTAGGGACCCGCCATGTAAAGCATTTCGAGCGAATTAACTGTCTCGCTTGATCGGTTTCGAGCGAAGATGGTCCTTAGCCTCCGACCTAACCTTAAATGAAAACCCCCCTTGAAGAAAACGTTAGCGATAAACCTTCAATGATTGTCAAAATGCCGCTTGGCGTGTGTGTGTGATACCACCGGAATCTATTTTGGATATCCACACACACGCACACATGCAGACATACACACACATACATACATTCATGCACATAAACACTCACAGTCACACACACACATACAAACACACAAACGTACACAAAGACAAACACAACACAGGCATACACAAACACAGACAGACGCACACACACTTACACACTTACACACACACACTCACAGACACACGTTCGAGAAAATGTCAATATCGCCTGTGAGGACCGATAAATATTCCCGCTGTCCAAATACAAGCCGGAAGAAACTTACTCATTGGTTCGCCCCCCCCCCTTTTTGTAGGTTTTTAAAATAACGATGTCAACGTTCACATCTAGAACAGGTCTGGCTAGAGGGCGCCTTGTCCCCCCTCCTCCCCCCACCTCCCCCTCCCTCCCCCCGCGTGGCGTTCTGGCGGTCTGTCATTTCTGATTCTAGTTTTAGGCTGATTAGAGGATGGGTTTAGTAAGGGAGGGGGGGGGGGAGGAGGGAGGGGAGGGAGGGGGGGAGAGGAGGGAGGGGAGGGGGGATGGGGGAGGAGGGAGGGAGGAGGGAGGGGACAGGGAGGAGAGAGGAAGGAGGGGACAGGGAGAAGGGAGGAGGGAGGGGATGGGGGATGGAGGAAGGGAGGAGGGAGGGGATGGGGGAAGAGGGGGAGGGAGGGAGGTGAGAGGGAGGGGAGGGGGAGGAGGAGGGAGGGGAAGGGGTAGGGAAAAGGGAGTAGAAGGGAGGAGGGAGGGAAGGAGGAGGGAGGGGAGGGGGTAGGGAAAAGAGAGGAGAAGGGAAGAGGGAGGGAAAAGGGAGAAGAAGGGAGGGAGGGAGGGACTGAAGAGGGAGGAAGGAAGGAGGAGGGAATGGGGATGGGGAGGGGATAGGATAGGGGTGGGTGGCAGGGCAGATAGGATGTTTAATTATAAGATATGGAAGACTTTAGAGAAAAAGAAGAGGATGAGGAAAAAAAAGGAATTAAAGTGAGGGGAGGAAAGGAAAGAAAATGATAGACGGGAAGATATATAGACGGAGAGATAGACGAACAAAAAGTGATAAAGGGGAGAACAAAAGGGAAATGGATAGGTAGATATATAGATAAACAGATAGATAGAATGATAGATAAACGGATAGATAGAATGATAGATAAACGGATAGATAGAATGATAGATAAACGGATAGATAGAATGATAGATAAACGGATAGATAGAATGATAGATAAACGGATAGATAGATAAAAAGGTAGTGTGACAGAGAGATAGACAGAGAAGTATAGAGATATACATATAGAAAGATTAGTACATATATAAACAAATATACAGATAGATTATAGAGAAAAAAGAATGAACAAAGAAAGAGGAAGAGCATAAAAAAAAGAGAGTAAAGATCCGAAATAAAGAGGAACCGACGTAAAAAAAAAATAAAAAAAACGAGATCGGCCCACAAAGGGACGGATAGTTCGCATGTGAAGAAATAAACTAGCAGTGTGTGCCATCAGCTTTGATTCATGGCGTCTTTATATTCAGCGGCCGACTCTAGCTTGTGCGCCAATTATGAGAAATTAGAGTGTTGATTAAGGTGATTCTCCCTTAAGAAAAGAGAAAACAATGGCTACAGCGGGATGGGTTCCATTATTAAGGTCTGTTCCAATATGTTTCGATGATGCCTGTTTAATATTCACATTGGATCCACGGTAAAACCTTCAAATAACAGATAATTATGGGGCAGAGTACGGAGTTTCGGCTTTTTAATTTGTAGTTGCCAGCAAAATTCAGAAGAATTTCAAAATGATTGTCCCTCTAGCTACATTAGGTACAAGTAGTCACCCATTTTCATTAAATTACGCTCACTCCTAATATTTTCTCAGCATGGAATGAACTGAATTAATATCTTGATGTAATTTACTCTAATTATGGTTCAGTAGCCCATAATTCGCTTACCAATACGAACACGCTCGATTGTGGGCGGAGACTGTCCTGCGCCAGCCAATGGGAGCGGGAGGCGGGGCTTACGGCTCAGCCAATCATCGTTGAGTGAAGGAAAATGGCTCCTGAAAGATGGATTTGATGCATTCCGTGTTTGAGTTTGGCTTGTAGTGAAGGTAAATCTTGTTATGTCGGTTGTGATTTTAATGGTCTCGTAAGCGCGGCTGCATGCCAAGATGGGAGCATGTTGCGAGCTCAAGAGGACATTGGTAATGGAGAATACAGATTAGGCGGAGGTGTGTGGTAGTGGCAGCCTAAGACGAGCGTTGCGGCGACCGACCAGGATGACCGCCATGTCAGCAGAGGACCACGAGGAAATAACCGTTGACGGGGCGTCGAGTCGGGAGGCTTCTCCCGCGCCGGTGTCCCCGACCCGCGGCCGCAGCAGCTCGCCGCTCGACCTCAGCAGGGACGAGGCCCTGCACGCCCGCCACGGGGACGCTCGCAGCCCCAAAGGTCAGCACGGGCGCCTTTCGTTCAGCATATCTTCGCTCCTGGAGTCGTCGGGCCGCGCCGCAGCGCTCCGACACCGACTCCTGGAGGAGGGAAGTGAGTCCGACCGCGAGTGCGACGGCGGGTTTGTGGGAGAACTGGAGCGCCGCAGCCGGCACAGTGACAGAGACAGTGAACGGTGCGAGCGGGACAGTGAACGCAGTGAGCGGGAACGCGAAGGGGACGACCGGGAGAGGTTAAGTTGTGCTGGCAGTGAGGCTGAGGGCGAGGACGATGACGGCGAGCGCCCCTTCCAGCCCTTCACGTACACACACATGCCCTTCATGGGCGCGGGCGGGCTCCTGCCTCCCTTCTCCCTCGTTCCTCCCATGGGAGCCGCCGCCGCCGCCGTGGCCGCCGGCCTGGGCTCTCAGGGATCCCTGGCGGCGATGAGCGGCCCCGGGGGCGTCATCCGCGTGCCAGCCCACAGGCCCTCCGTCGGGGGCGCCCCGGGAGCAGGCGCCCTCGGGGCCATGCTGCCCCACATGGCGGGCGCCCCCCTGCCCTGGCTGGCGGGGCTGACCCCCCTGGAGCGCACGGCCGCCATGGCTCATCACCTGTCTGCCCTCAACCCTATCACAG